AGACTCTAAGGATGAATATACTTTTATTTTTACTCAACTTCTGATATTGTAAAGTTTAGGAAATACTATACAGAGGGAAGTAAAAAATAAATAAGAATGAAAATGGAAAAGGGGAAAAGATAAAAATAAAAGAAAAAAGTGAAATCTGATTTAGGCGTGATTTTGGGTGTAGTTGACGAAGTTGTGGATTAGGCGGCTGAAAATTATTTATGGGCTATCGGATGAAAATCGTATTTGTGGGTTAGGCGGCTGAAAAGTGCTTTCTCCAAGTGTATTTATGTGAAATTATTCCTTACATTAACAATATAACTTGCTAATATATATAGGAGAACGAATCTTTTTAGTTCGTCTACGAGGCCGAGAACTTGGTTTATTTCTTCTTGTAATGTGTTTGCCTGTGTCCTTTTATACCGTACGCGTATTCTGTTTCTTTTCTTGAACATTATTTTTTGACTTTCATTACGACTTCTCTGTACTTGAGAAAATGTTAATTTGGTTTGTCCACAACTTCTTTTTATTAATACTTTTCTGAAGATATAACTAGTGAAATTTGAGTAACTGCGCAAAATGATCAAATGAAATAATAATTGGATCAACTAAATAATTTATTTTTCTGATAAATTTATTTTGCACGTCAATGATTTAGGCAGGTAGTATTTTAGATTACATCGGAAAATTGATCGCTTAAATCATGAAGGGAATCTCAATCAATTTAATATCTTTAGGTTTCGTTTGTTATCAAGTCCTTCCTCTTGAATATAGAACTTATCAGGGTAAAAAGTTCATTTGAAATCATAATCACATATCATTATTTCTTTTTTTTTTCGTTTCTTCTCTTTTAATTTTTTTTTTTTTGTGTGTGTGGCTAAGGATGTGAATAGTAAGAGAATTGAATATAGAAGAGGAAATTATTCCTTAAAAATTAAAAACCTCCCTTGGATGATGCAAAGCGTACTAACAATCATTAGATTACAAGTCGATTTTCATAATCACGCACCATTGGACTGATGAATCTTGCAGTGAATTCCCACCAAATTAATATCTTAGGCTCCGATAATAATTGAGTCATTTTTCTTGAATGTAGCCTATCATGTAAACAAATCATTTGAAATCATAATCATGTTTTTTCATTCTTTTCCTTCTTGGGAAGGACGTGAATAGTAATAAAAAAGAAAAAAGAAGAGGAAATTCTTTGAAATTAAAACATGAGTACATGATAAATACCGTATCTCAAATCTCATAAGTCATAGCCGTGTAATATTGGATTGCTGAAACTCGAACATTTCTCATAAAAATAAAAAAAATTATCATGATTTTTATTATTTGCATATTCAAGCTCGATCAAATCAATGTTTAATTAACTCATCTTATAATTAGATCGGGTTGTCCTCTTAAAAGATAGAAAGACCACACTTATAAAATGATAATTTTTATATAAAAATAACACATCTTTCATAAAAAATAATTTTCTTATCAAGAATTTTATTATTTTGCATATTAAAGCTCAATCGAATCAATGTTTAATTATTTCATCTTATAATTCGATCGGGGTGTGCTATAAAAAGATAGAAAGATCACACTTATAAAACATAAGGTTTCCCTTGATCAAGCATACATATCGTCAAAACATCACATATACCGCAAACAACAAGAACGATTAATAAAAAAATGGTAATAGCTTTTATTCATCCTTCCGCCTTTCATTTTCGTAACCATACCCACGTTCCGTACCATAATTCTTCACCTTCAAGAGAAGATTTTCCAATCTCTCTTTCAACATTGAAGCCTCCGTGTAGTTCATCTTCTCTATAGGATCTCTGAACCACTCTTGTTGGCTATCCACATTCTTATTTATTTCCTTGAGGTTGCTTTTAAAGTTTAATGCAAAATCAAGCTGATCTTGTAGATAATCGAGTTGTGTGATAAGTGCTCTAGAATTGACTTTTCGGCTCATCTGAACATACTTGTCATCAATGCCTGGTGATGATGGTGTTGGAGGCCTTTCTTTGCCAACATATTTGTCGATGGTCTCATTTACATTTGGATGACCAAAAAAGTAAAGCTTATTAGCTATAAGGCAAGAGGAGAAAAATCAGTAATATAAAATAAGATAAGAGGAGAGAAATTTAGTTTATCTGCTATTATATAAAAATCAGTAATATAAAATTGCGTAAGTGGAGAGAAATCAGTTTATCTACTATTATAATATCAATCGCATTAGGTTATATTTTACGTGCGAATAATCAGCACGTTCAAGATCCTGAATTTGTGTGTTTAATTATGATGATGCATGTATATTTAGCTATATTTGTTGATGGTATATATCATGTATATCTAGATGATCAAAAAAATATAAGGCTTGTTAATTACCTGGTGAAAACACGTTGATGCCAACTTCAGCACCAGTCATAACTGCAAGTTCATTTGCTTTCTTGAAGACGATATTTCTGCTTTTTGAGAAGGTCACTTGTCGATTAGTCTCATTCTCTATCTTCGCGAGAAGAACTTTTTTACGACCCTTAATCAGCCTAGTACTCATTCTGAAGGATATATGATGATATAACTAGTAAGTATTTCTTAGAGTATGTGATATGAACTTTGTAATGCAGGAGCCTAGTATTTATAGAGTTTTTCCAACATATTGAAGCCTTTTGTTTTTCAATTTTGGTAGTTCATAGATATGAATCTAGTTTATTTTTTTAGCGTTCACATGTTATGAGGCAAGTAAATTTAGATACTTAATCATAGTGGTGACTGTACTTTCTATTTTTCAAAAGATTTCCAAAATTTACCTCTACAATATTATAATTTTCAAGTCAATTTTCAGGCCCAGGCTTGTTCTAAGATTATTAGTATTTGATACTCTCTTAATAATATGCCTAATTTGCATATTGATGAATAAGTATCCCATTTGAATTACCATTATTTTTATTTTATTTTTATTTTCTTGTTTACTACTTCTAATTTTGGTAATTTTCTAGTTGTCGCTTGTAACGACCCGGCCGGTCGTTTAAAGAATTAACGCCCCGATCCCCTATTAACTGCTTTCCCTGTGTTTATTTATGTTATTGTGAGTTGCTGGGAGGATTCGTTGGGAGTTTCGGAGTGTTTTGGGACACTTAGTCCCTAAATGAGAGCTTAAGCTTTAGAATTTGACCCGTTGTCGGAGCAGTGCGAAGACGGCCTCAGAATGGAATTCTGTCGATTTCGTTAGTTCCGTTGGGTGATTTCGGAATAAGGGGCATGTTCCGATTGTATTTTGGAGGTCCGTACCTTATTTAGGGTTGAAATGCCGAAAGTGAATTTTTTAAGTTTTCGGTTCGATAGTGAGATTTTGATATAGGAGTCGGAATGAAATTTCGGAAATTTGAGTAGGCCCGTGGTATCATTTGAGACATGTGCGCAAAATTTCAGGTCATTCGGACGAGGTTTGATAGACTTTATCGAAAGCGGAATTTGGAAGTTTGGGAATCCTTAGGCTTGAATCCAAGGTTGATTTGATGTTCCGCTGTTGTTTTGCGTGTTCCGAAGGTTGGTACAAGTTTGAATAGTGTTATGTGACTTTTTGGCATGTTTGGTTGAGGTCCCGTGGGCCTCGGGATGGATTTGGATGGTTGACGGAGAGTTTGAGTTTGGAGTTGTTCTGTAGATTTTTCTGCTTCTGATATTTCTGTCACGACCCAATTACAGGTCGTGATGGCGCCCAACCCCATTGTCAAGCAAGCCAACTCTACATATTAGTAAATTCTCATTTTTACTTTACCAAAACAGTTCCTCTAATTTGTTCATTAGAATAAAAAATAAGTGATAATCAGTAACGTACGATAATAATCAGACAAACCAAAAGAATAGTCTACCAATGTGTGTGCCAAGACCTGGCGTCACAAGTATATGGGCATCTAGTAGAATAAACAAAAGAATAAATCTATCTTACGGTCTGAACTAGAATAGACAGCCAAAAGTACTGAGAGACTCCATCACGCTGCTGAACGGCATAAGAAAGGAGCAGCTCACCGTGGAATCTCGGGGCTCTATCAAGAATGCACACCAGACTGATAGCCAGATGTACCTGCCTCAGATCTTGTACAATTAAGTACAGAAGCATAGTATGAATACATAAACAACATGTACCCAGTAAGTATCCAGTCTAACCTCAAAGAAGTAGTAACGAGGGGTCGACATGACACTTACTAAGGTCAATACCAATAATGATTTAAGATTTCACTAAGCATGGATAACATAGGCATAATAACAAGCTCAGAGTCTACAGAGGTCAATATATATATATATATATATATATATATATCAGTTTCGGTCATGTCTTATATAATTTCAGTTCAAGGCATTTACCAGAGTAAGTCATGAATAAGATTTCACATAGATGTCATGCGCACATTATGCCGAGTTCGTATGGCTTGGTCTAACATAAAAGGAAATGTGCACTGCCAGAGGGTCAAATGGCGTGAACCATAGATGCATCTATTTCTACCGAGGCGATCAGCCCGATACACAAATATCAATTATCATCAACAAGGCACATAGGGCGCAATCATAGTCAAATAATTCATACAAGTTATCAAGTAAGTGCAGGCGTTCTTATACATTTATTTCCAACCCCTAACAAGTCCTAAGTGATCTCATTAACATGAAAGGATATAGACATTTGCAAATATAGCATGATATGGGTCCTAATCTATCCGGACAATTAACATAATAGTAGCTACGCAGAAACTCTCGTCACCTCGTGCTTACGTAGCCCCCACAATTAGCAACACATGATTAATTAACTCACCTACGGGGAAAATTCCCTCTTACAAGATTAGAAAGGATACTCACCTCGCTCCAAAGCGTACTCCCAATATGAAGAACGTGCTCAAACGCTCAATTTGGAGCCGAACGATCCGAAACTAATTAAACGAGGTAGGAACAAGTCAATACAAGCTCAAAAGTTCGCATTTTAACTACTAAAGTAATTTCCCAACCTTAAACACAAGTTTCCTAAAATCCGACCCCGGGTCAACGTGCCCGGATTCCGAAGCTACATGAACCAAGAGTGAAGAACCAATTCCATTGTGTTTTTCTTTATTTCTAGTTCAATTGTAGTAGGTGTTTCATATTGTACCTTTCAGCTTTATCTAGAAGCAATTGTAATAGGTATATTAAGTATCCAAGTTAGAGTTAACTTGAAGGTGTCGCAATAGTTGAGGTTGTGTGCCACACTGGGATTAGAGTTTAATCCTTCGGTTTACAAGAGTTTGTAAATGCTGTTTTTGGCTCAGTGATTTTAGTGGAAGTTTGGGAAAATCCTACTGAGTAGTAGGTCGTGATTTTTTCACCTTTTGAGCCAGGTGTTTTCCACGTAAAAATCTCTGTGTTCTTTACTTTATGCACTCTTAATTCCGCAAACAGTCATAGTAAGTACATCTAGAAGAACCAGGTTCTTCTAGTGCAAAGATTAGGTACCACACTAATCACCCCCCTTCTTGTGTGGTATTGACGTTTAGAACATCAATTGGTATCACAGCAGGTTATCCTTCAAGAGGCTAACCCCTTAGGAAAATATCATCATGAGTGCACCACCTGGGAACTGGGAAGGCCAGGCCTCCACTTTTCAATGGTCAGTACTATTCTTGGTGGAAGAACAGAATGAGAGATCACATTATAAGGGAAGATAATGAACTTTGGGACATAGTCACTGATGGTCCCCTAGCAACCAGTAAGACGAATGCTGAAGGAATTGATGTGCCAAAAACAAGGGCTGATTGTACTGCTGAGGACCTGAGGAAGTGGGAGAAAAATGCTAAGGCCAAGAAGTGGCTTGTATGTGGTCTAGGACCAGACGAATACAGTAGGATCCAAAGCTATGCAACTGCTAAGGAAATATGGGACACTCTACAAGTGGCTCATGAAGGAACACCTCAAGTGAAAAGATCAAGAGGAACACTTCTGTATTCTCAATATGAGAATTTTACTATGAAAGAAGGAGAAACTATCCAGGAGATGTATACTAGATTCACCACTTTGACAAATGAACTTGAATCTCTTGGAAGGATTATCCTAGAGGAAGACAAGGTTGAGAAGATTCTGACAAGAGTTCTGCCAGTCACATGGGAAAGCAAAATCACTGCCATTCAGGAATCCAAGAACATTGCTACTCTCAGACTGGATGAACTAATTGGAAATTTAACTACCTATGAAATGAGGAGACAAACCGTGAAGATGGACACCCCCAAAAAGGAGAGAAGCTTAGCTCTTAGAATTGTTGAAGGTGCAGATTTGGAAGATGATGAAATGGCTATGATATACCTGATGAGAGGAAAGGGTTCTTCAAGAGGTACAAACTTCAATAAATCAAGAACTCCGGAGAAACAGACCAATGAGGGATGCTACAAGTGTGGTAAGACTGACCACATGATCAAAAACTGCCCTCAATGGGAAATTGAGTGGAAGAAATAAAGAGTTAAACGAAGGAACAGGAAGAAGGAACAGGTTCAACCAAAGAGAAACAAAGGTTCAACCAAGGCTATGGTTGCTGCTTGGGGAGAAACTTCAGATGAAGACTCAGAAGATGAAGCTGAGGAGGAGCAAGCACTGATGGCCATCGGAGAATCAGATGATGAACAAGAGGTAAGTATTCTTCATCTCAAAGACAAGATTAAGTTCTTGTCTAAAGAAAGGCTGGCTGAGCTATTAACAGACTTCATTGATGAGTCTGAGATAATTAATAATGAAAAGGCAGTTCTGTCTAGGGAATGTGTGATTCTGAAAGCAAAATGCAAAAGTCTAGAGTCTAGGGCAAATGAGAGTGATAACAAAAATGCTGAGTTGAAGAACCAAGTTCTTGAACTTGACAACAGTGTCCTAGCTATTAGGTCTAAAAATCTGAAACTGAAATTAGGAACAGGAAAGAAGATAGTTGATCACACCTATCTCACTCTAGAAGAAAACTTGGGAAAAATAAAAGATGAATTATACAGGAAAGATGAATTCATCAAAGTTTTAAAAGAAGATCTAGGGAAGGTAAAACATGAACTAGACAGAACTTGCAAGTGGAACAAAGACTCTGATGCTCTCTCCTAGTTGCAAGAGCATCACAGCAGTAACAAAAGAGGACTTGGCTATGGGACTCAAGCTCCTAAATGGGATCCAAAAAGCAAGTACCTCACTCTTCCTGAAAATAAAATCTGCACACACTGTGGTAAGACTGGCCATTACAAATATGAATGTAATGCAAAAGAAAAGGCCAGTCAAAGAAACAAAGCTTTTGTTCAAGGAAAGCATAAGCTGCCTTGTTGGGCAAGAAAGAATCTGATTCATCCTTTTGCCCATAGAAAGGGACCCAAACTAGTTTGGGTTCCTAAGACTAACCCCTGATTTTCTTTTGTAGGTCCAAGTGAAAGGGAGGAGCCAAATATGGTATATGGATAGTGGCTGCTCAAAACATATGACTGGGGACAAGGACCAGTTCCTTTCACTTGAGGACCTAAAAGGAGGTAATGTCTCCTTTGGTAATGGAAAGAAAGGTGAGATCATTGGGGT